TAAAATGTTTCGCGCGTAAAATTAAGTTATACGGTATGACGTCATTTGTTTATAAACGGTAATTTTCGTTATTATTTAAAATATTTTGCACTGACGATGATATATTTTATATCGAAAAAGCTTTCTGCAATTATTTATTTTAATAAACACAAACAATAATAATTTTAGTTTTTTACTTAATAAATAAAATATCCATAATAAAATTTTAATTAGAAAACTTGAAAAATTAATGTATAAATATAATAATTGTATTAACGCGGTTGATTTTCTTAAAAACAGTATCGAATATGGTCTAAATCCTAATATATATATATATATACACACACACACACACACACATATATATATATATATATATATATATATATATATATATATATATATATATATATATATATGTAACATATTAACGCCAAACATTCGGTAGAATTTATAGAATATTGTAAAAATTATGGTCTATTCCCAACATATATATATATATATATATATATATATATATATATATATATATATATGATAAATTGTTAAATATTTAAAAATCATTTAAATTAAAAAAATTGTAAACTACTAAATTAATTTTTGATTAATGAATAAACAAATAAATAAATGAACTTTGTATTAAATATTATATCCTATATTATATATAAATAACTAAATATATTTAAATATATTTAAATATATAGGTATATGTATATATTCAAACTTAAGTGTCTAACTAAAATCCGACTCAAATCTGATATTTCTTCAAATATTTTAAGTTATTTTTTCAAATTTTGATATCTCGCTGTTGTCAGAACTTTCAAAGTCTTTGTCTAGTTTTTTTTTAAATAGCAATGTCTCGTCACAGCCCTGCAAAACAAGACTATTGTGTATATTTCTGCTCAAGATGTGAGCGTTGAGGGTCTAAAAGCGCAGTTTTGCAGCCTCACAGGATAGACTTCATAACAGAGAAAGCATGTAGGTAGATAGAAACATGGAAAAACACTCAAAAGAGTTTTATTATTGAAAGTTTAAAAAAAATTAATATTTGCTTTGCTTTTGTTATTTTTTGTGAATATTTGGAAAATGCGATCAACATTTAATTTAAAAATGCAGATGTTTTACTTTATTTAAAATATTATTAATGTTTTAACAATAGTCTGTACGTTGCGTTTTACTTGCTATTAAACATGTATTTTAAATTCGTCTAAAAATGATATTATTTATTATGCACATTTTGGCATAAATATTAGACATGCTTGAATAAATATAGAGATTTTGTCATTGTTAGCTGTCGCACAAAATAAATGTAGAAATCTATGAAGAACTACGCATGAATTAATTATGATTCATTCACTTGCACTTTTGCATTTTAATCAAAACGTCACAACAGGTTCTTTTAATACGATGAATTTCAAATGAAGATCATTATTTAGATTATTTCACAACCGTTTGTTTAATTTTGGTGATCAATTAAAATGGCTTTCATTTTGTATCAACTTGTATTTTTTTCTAGGTTGATTTATTATTTAATGTTTGGTTTCTTAGTAAGTGCAAATGATTTGGATAATAATCTAGTCAAACCCGTAAACTTTTCAATTGATTACCAAAATTTGTGCAAATCTGAAATGCTAAAATCATGCCACATTCCCGAGGAGCGGCGATCTATTGCCTGTAGGATACTTTTGCCCGGGTGTTCTGATTATTTTGATTGCTTCACAAAAAAACAATTTGGTTGTCCAAAAGGATCCTACATTAATCTCACCACATGGGCATGTGGAAATACAAAAATTACTTGTTTTAATCCCCCCCAAAACTATACATATAACGAATGTAATAATTTAAATTTTAATTGCACGAGTTGGAATCAGATTAATTCGCATCCGACACTGTCCTGTCCAATTATTGAAGAAAATTGTAATAGTTATTACAATTGCTCAAATTATTTGCATTATTTTTGTGGTACATTAATGTTTAGCAACTTTACCAAAACCTGTATTGACAAATCAGTTGTATGCGAAACTGCTGTTGATAACCAGTCGGCTAACAATTTACAAGATCCAAACATACACCCTATTGAAAATCTCAAGTTGACAACTGCCGAACAAACAAATTTTCTAAAGTCAAATAAAATATCAAATTCTAAATTGGATTATCATTCTATACCATATGATTCTGACGATGAATTAACTCCTGCTGATGATCTGACCACCGAATCAAATCGAGTGCCGTTAGTTCGTATTCAGACGACACAAACAGATGTTGTAAGTGGATCGAAGGCAGAATTCACATGTACAATTAAAATTTACAAAACGGATAAATTTTCATGGTTCATTAATAAAATACGTATAAAGCCTTCGAAAAGGGTTATGATAAAAAACAACCGGTGGAACCAATCAACTCTTATCATCGATCCAATCATGGAAACTGAAAGCGGTTGGGTTTTTATTTTGGATGTTTTTTTTTAAATTTAAATAGTGTTTTTTAAATGCTGAACTAGGTTACCTTACATGTTACAGTGTATATGACAACGCTTTTCATGATTTCGATACAGTCCACATCAATGTTATTAAACTTTTCCGCTTGCTAATTTTTCCGCTACACAGAAAAGTTCCTAACAATACAAACATCACCGTACTTTGTAAGGTTACTAACGTTAACAAACAAAATGAAAACAGCTTAAAAAACTATAAACTGGTTTGGTATTTGAATGGAACAATATTGCAAACAGGTTACTCAAATTTTTTCACGTATATCAAGCATTTAAAATGATGGTTATACTTTAAAATTAAAAATAATTTAAAAAATGAGGATTGTATAATTTAAATAAACAAATATTCTCAAAGTAACCCCTCGGGAAATTAATGAAAAAGAATTTTTTGTGAATCAATCAATGGATATAACGTGTGGTTTGGAATCGGTTGGCATAAAAATAGATCCTGGTGATACATGTCGCATTCTTTATATTCACATGCAAGGTTGGCCATGCAAGTAGAAACATAATATTATAATACAGGTATACACAATTTGATGAAATATTTTGCTTTTAAATCTTCAAAAGTAGACAAGAAAATGTGCTTAGAGGAAAAAGCAAAAGAAATTTTATGGGGACCAATGAATCCATTATCAACAGATATCCAGCCATGTCCTGAGGGATATACCGGTGCAACCGATGTTATGTTACTGAATGATGCAATTGATAGATGTCATGTTACTAGTTGATGCAACTTAATGATTATATCGCTGTGCAATCCACAATACCATCAATCATGCAATTCAGTTTATGCAACACAACTAGAAATATATTATTCTTATTCGCAGGTCATTTATCAAGAATTTGTTTTGCCAACTCAACTTGGGGTGAAGTTGACTCAAATGAATGTTTAACGAATAGGATGCTAGATATGGAAAACAAGGTTATAAAAGTGCCTTAAACGAAAATTTTTTAAATAATTTTTTTTGTGATTAACGTTAGTTAATTAACATTAAGAACATAATTTTAAAATTAACTATGTAGAAAAAAATAACGTTAAATATTAAAACAGATTACACAGTTTGAGCAGCAAATAACTCCTGTCAATTCAACAGAATTATTGGAGCTTTTAAATGATCTGCCTCACGCCTTTCAAAACTGTGAAACAGGACTTGACGTAATGACAGGAGTGGATATTCTATACAAAGTTGCAAATCTTCTCAATGGTACCGAAATATTGAACTTTGACAATGAAGACGAGGTATTTTGTAATAATTTATATTATATTATTTGTACATGTAAAGTACGTGTGATCAAATTAATAATGATTAATTATGCTAATTTATTCAAGACAAGTAAAATTATGAAAAGCTTAGGAATCTTATTGTCATACGATGTATGGGCAGAAAGTCAACAACAGGTTTATTTGATCAGGATATATTAATTATGAAAATCAGGTTAATTTCAAAATTAAAATTTTTAAACAGAATTATATTGGTTCTTTAAAACTCTTGCAAACAATCAACATGTACTCGAACAAACCGAGGAATAAAGCATGGAATAGATCATCATACCTGCAACCAAATGAGTACCTAAGTGAGAAATCTTTAATATTATTTACCATTACTGTGTATATTAAATGTATATTACTAACGAAAATAGGAAGTAGAATATTAAAATAATTTGGCATCGACAGAAATAAAAAAAAATAAAAAGAGTCTACAATAAGTTTATTGCAAAACAAATCCATGCATTGAACACTATGGCAAATAAACACTAAATATGAAAACATCAGTATTCGGAGATTTTTGTCATGGTGACTTTTGCAGATTTCATTTTTTCATCCTTGCTTTCCAAGCCGATCCTCAATCCTGGTAAGTAAGATCAGGTTTCTTGTTGAATCTAGATTCAAAAATACACAGTCTAGATTAAATATAATGTCGATGACACTGATAATTGTCAAATTCTTTCTCATCTTGGTAATTTAATATAAATCTATCAAATAAATCGATTTGTCATCAAATTTTGTATCTCAAAATTTAGTCTCGGGTTTATTTTTTATACGAGCATGCCAAAAACGTCGACAATGAAGTTGCAACCTACGATTAATTCCGTTTGGTAAAATTTTGAATAGTGGCCAACAGACCCTTTCATTTGAAGCGCACGATTTTCCATTGCAACACAATTTTTAACTGAGTGGAGCACATTTACCAGTGAGTGGTCTAACTCTTAGCTTTTTAATAGGCGTGTGTCAAGAACATGTTAAATTTTACTTTTAGCTAAGATTAAATCTAGCTGATACCATTGTCCAGATCTATGGTGTTGAGACTTGGTTTTGAAATATATGTTAGTGACTCAGTTTGTGAAAAGAACAAAATTTTATTAATTTTGTTCATGTCAAAGTGTCGTTATCTGACATCCGCCTTAAAATTTTCTGACATCAACCGATATCTTTTTCACGTTTGTTTTTAATAGTTTATTCAGTCAAATTAATAAACGCTAGTCGTAAATTATAATGGTCGTTATTGTAATGTAAAATTTTTTGGTTCTGTCCATTTATATAAAGATATAATAAACGGACAGGACAAAGCGGAATAAAAGCACTTTGCACACAGCGAATTGTAAAACTTTGAAATATCCCAATAAAGTGCTGATGATACGCTTCACCATGAACACCAACAATTTTCTTATTAATTTTAATAAATTAGATAATAATTATAAAACTACTGTTAGAAATATTGAAAAGCTCAATCGTAAACTTTCAAAAGCTAAAAATTCGGTAGATTTTATCAAATATTGCATCAATTATAATCTCTTTCCAGCTTATATATATATATATTTGTATAAATTTATTTATTTATTTATAATGTATAGTGTTGAAGTTGATTGTTAGAAAAATGTTGTTCTGTTTCCGATAGCTTGATTTTAAGAATGAAATGCTTTGGTCTTATTGTCTAAAATATCAATAATTAAGTCAACACATTCTTTTGCCACCGTAATACTTTAGCTTGGAACCAGCATCAGTTTATTTTTCACTTAGGTTGATTTAATTGTTTTTATTTTCATGTGCAGACAAAAATGTTGTTTTACATAATTTACGAAAGCATTTGAAAGAAGACAGCTGACGGCAGGAGATCAGACATTTCCAGACTGGAGCACGTACATGCCAAATATGTCCCACCCCGGAAACATCATTATTCTTCGGCAAAACAGCATGACAGGTGTTTTGTTTATACATGCATGTTTTATTGAAATGTTTCTTATTTTAATCTATTTGGCGAACAACTGGACGGTGTAGCGGTGAAGTGCCTGGCTTTGCATTGAAATGATTGGATTCAAATGCAAAGATATCATATGATAAATTGTATGCTGAGTTATTCTGCACATGCGAGTGTGTTTGAAAGTAACGTTGAACGCCACGACACCTTTAAATTACAGAGATCGATTGAACTGAATTTTTAGTAGTCTCGATTTTTTTTAATACTTGTTCCGTATAATAATTTTTTAAAGGACGGTTCGCGTCTTGTTCCTTTGTGAAAAAACTTGCCGGTGTTCTTCCCAATGCTGAGTAATTATATAATTTTAATAACTCCGATATAAATAAATATTTTTAATTGTTTCTGATTAAGAAATGCCATAAAAATGCTTAAAATGTATTTAATTTCTTACAGAAACGACACCTTCATCAATTCTGGCATGTTATCAATGGATGTTCTGTCGATGGACGCAACTAACTCGGATGAGTTGGCTAACTTACATTCATCTGTGCTTGTAGAGATAACTTTGAAACACCTTAAAGTACAGTTGATTTGTTTTTTTTATTGATAAGCATCATATTTGAAGAGTTTGTAAATATAAATTTAAAGTGTAATATATCAACATTGTGTGTGCTTGTAAAACTCCTAGCATAGAAATCGTTCGTCTTACGAAGCATTCAGTAATATCTATACATGGAAAACTTAATATTTAAATTAAAATTTAAATTTTTTCTATAATTAATTAATTGTGTAACATTAAATAATGCAAAACATCTAAGCGCCTCTTATTTATTTTTCTAAACTTTTTCTTGAGCATTTCGAGATTCCTGCTAACTTACGACAATATCATACTATTATTTAAAAGAGCCTGATAACCTTTACCTCCTTATCTTGAACCAGAAAATGCATTTATGTTTTTTATTTATTTTTTCCGCAGCCTAAGGAGATCAACTCGTACAACACCTCGTGCGTATTCTGGAAATTCACAGATCTGTTGAGGTTTTTCACATAAATTTTTTTGATCAATTAAGTTAATTTTTCAAACATTTTCTACTAACCAATGAGCCCGAATTGCTTCCAAACAAATGAACGACAGCGGATACTGGTCGGACGAAGGCTGCACGTTGAAAATCTCAAACGAAACGCACACGACATGCACGTGTAACCACCTCACAAACTTCGCCATACTTTTCAGCCCTTACAGAGCAGTCTGTTATTTTTCATGCCATTTAGTAAAATTGATATCTTTTAAAATTCATGCTTTACTTTACACTATAGTTTGACTGGAGTTATTATAAGAATAATTTGTTATATGTATTGCGTTAAAAATTGCCACATTGTTTATGAAAACAAAAAATTCAGACAAAATTTAGCAAAAAAGTCAGATAATTATTTGATTAAGGTTATGGATAGTTCAGGCATGCGGTCATATTGATTAAATTGAAATTATATTCACGATAGAATTACTTTCCATTTTATGAATGCAGACAGGAGTGCATGAAAAGATACTTAGCATGATATCCCTGGTCGGCTGCATCGTTTCCATCGTGTCTCTCGTCCTCACCATAATTTTTTATGCCATCAGGTGGAGGTCGGTTCTTTTGAAGCTTGCACGCAAAACACACACACTACACACACACACACACGCACGCACACACGCACAGACACATAAACTCAGTTTTATTTGGTAATTTTTCATTGTAGATAAAGTAAATATATTTAATGTAGACATGAAACGTACGTCAATAAAAATTGTTTGCACCAGAATCGTGAAATCGAAGCAGGCAGCCATTTTGATAAACTTGTGTGCATCTCTTATCATCGCCAACATCATATTTCTTGCTGGAGTTAATCAAACGTCTAACAAGGTGTTTTTTTAAACAAAACTCTATTTGTATTTTTACGATTTAATTTGTTTTCTCTTGTTATTTTTATGGCGGTATCTGTAAACCGATGTTTATGTCTGATATAAATTTAGCGTGCCTGGTCTATAAAAGTTAAGAAAAGTTTGAAAAATGTGTAATCTTAATAAAATATCATATTCATCATGGAATATTAATTAATCTTGTTGCATGATATTTTCAATCGCAGCAGCGAAAGTTAAAGAAAGGAGTATGGATAGGCAAATCTATGAAATGAAATGAATTACATAATAGACATATAGGGATAATTTTAAATTTATTGATTTAACTTCTTGAAGAATTAATAAAAAAAATATTTTATTATATCGTAAAGAATGGGTGCACGGCGGTGGCTATTCTTTTGCATTACTTTTTTCTGGTGTCGTTCTTCATCATGTTGGTCATCGCCATCCACCTCATATTCAATGTCTTCCTAGTGTTTCACTCCTTAACGAAGCGAAACATCACCATGATGATTGTGTTTGCTTGGGGTAAGTTTTTTGAAATTTTGTTGGTTTGCGTTGCTTTCAGTTGTATAACTAAGTAGCAGCCGCAAGAGTTGATAAAAGTTCACTGTTGGTTCCATACAAAATTTAAATTAAAAAATGCAAGCATCGCATCATAATCTCGACACGTCTAAAAACACTGTGCCATATATGATATATAAACTAACAACGATTGCATCCACGACATGATGTTATAACGGTGTAAAGGAAGTAACTTGAAAGTGTAACAGTAACATATTGGCATTCCTTCATTTCAGCTCTGCCTCTCATTATTGTCTTCATAACTATGGGAGCAACTAGATTGCTTGGCTATGGAGATTCGAAAAAGTACGTTGACCAAGTATAAAATTTCTTGGTTTCTTCTAATAATTTATTAATTCAAACTTCAAGCCACTTTTTGAACAAATTGTTTTCAAACGTTACATTCTTGTGTAATAAAAAGATTGATTTCACAATTTTGTTTAATACATCTCTTTGTTGTTCTTTATTATGCAGCTCTGCTTACATATCATTCCATATTTCAAGTTGAACTTTTGAGCCACTTCTGTAGTGCCCACACCACCTGACGTCATCCCTTATTTTGTTTTTCTCGCACCAGCACCGCGCCATACACACGTCCCAAGATAGTCTTTGTCTTACGGAGACAATATTCGAATTAGGCCAATGCGTAATAACGGCATAAAATATATTAACATTGAAAAATGTTATCCATGTGGATGAGTTAAAATCGTTATATCCGTCATCATCATAATTCTGTTTTCAATTAAATCTCCTTTGGTTATTTTAATAGATTTTTTAATTTATGATATAGAGAAATAAAAAATTGAAATAATTTAAAAAATAATTAACATTTTAAAATAAACCAGAACACGTAATAATAATAAAATCTTGAATTAGTTAATAAATACTTAGGTCAAAAAACAAAAAGATCATAAAATTCAGAACTATATTTTATCTTATACCTGGAAATTTTATCACCAGTTATTACTGTGAAATTTTTGACTAGAATTGAATTTTTGATTCGTTTCTTTCAATTATCAGCTTTAATTAAAAGCGAGAATGACATTACAAACGTATTACATTTTTACATGAAATTAATAAGTGCATATAATTATTGCGGGTAACATATATTTAATATTATTATATTATATAACAATTAATGAATGTGGCAGGGGACACAAATTACCGGGCAACTTTGAATTTAAGTACTATAGATCGATTTCTATGCTAAAATTCCGTGGTTGTGACTAAAAACTAGTTACAAAATGAAATTAAAATTAATGTAATGTATAATCAAAGGCAAATAACATTCTGCGCGACAAAAGTAGCGTCATCACACTGCTGCTTATATCTTATACTGCATTGTGCGAGCGAAACGATGGAGTTGGGCACGTTTAGACGTTTGGGCATCATGCATTGTTTTAATGACACAAAAACAACACTTTCATTGCCTATAAAACTGGCTGATCAACCACTTATTCACTACCATCATCGAGTAAATACATTTAACATGCACATAACCGCTACATTACACAGTTGCTGGTTGACTTACGAACATGGAGTGTTGTGGGCGTTTGTGGCACCAGCTCTCGCAATCATCCTCGTAAGTTATTCTTCTTCATATTCTTGATTATTGATGCTATCTTATATATTGATAATAAATATATACATATTTTCCCGATGCAAGTAGCATGTGAACAAGTTAATTTTACCTTTATTCGAAATTAGTTTTAAAAATTTTTGAAACGTCATTAGCATAAAATATTAGAAAATTTCGTTGTCAGTTTATCGTTGTCGTCTAACAATGGTAAATAGACGGTTGTTTATGGATTTTGTACCTAACTAATTGTTAAGTCCCACTGACAACTCATTCCACGCGTCTATTTTTTTTTACAAATGAATACTTTTCCAAAAATGATAATGTTTCCATATTTTAAAATTTGTTGTCTCTGATTTTACTACATTTGTAACACTCCGAATTTAACAATTAGATTAAATTATACAGTTCATAAACTTTACAAAAAATTCAATGACTCATTTTTTGAATTTTTTCTTTCTTGAACAGAAGTTAGCCCAATTTCTTATTAAGTATCCCAATATGTCTGTTTTCACCGTACTATTCATGCTGCAGTTCTGTTATCCATATTGTGTCAGCTATAAATAAATTATCTAAAGACGCAAAGTTACTTTAATTAGTTAGGGAAAAAACCTTAAAGAGAGGAAAAGATGTAAGTTAAGAAAAAATTTCTAAGCCAAAAAGAGCTTACTTAGGAAAAATAGTTGAGTTTAAAATTACGCACTAAGAAGTCTTAATTGAGCGTTAGTTTTAATAAACAATGTTGTTAGACCAGCCAGGCGCATCCTTGAATCTTGCTTTTAATTCATTTTTAATCTGGTGCTTGTGATTGATTCATATACATCTAACTCTTAATACCGGTTGTATTTAAAAAAGCATTAATGTCAATGCTTTATAATGAATTTGCTCGGAATTTATTTGTAAACATTCACCGTGAATGCAAATTTTTAATGTTTCACTAATGTCAGACGTTTTTGTAAGAACTTTGTAAGAATGTTATTTAAAAATGAAACTTTTATAAAAATAAAATTGTACGTAGAAATGCAACTAAATCTTTTAATATCATTAAGTTTGTTACAAATAGTTCATCTAATTTTGTTTTTTCATACACTCAATCTTGGTTTCTTTTAACTCCATTATTTTAATACATGCTTGGTTATCGCAATAAAAAATATTAAATTGCTGTTGTTGTAAGCTCAATAGCGACACTTCTGCAAATGTCAACATTTCAAACTCTCGGTCGGAAATTTGCAAATCTTTGAAACAGTTTCATTTTCGCTAAATGTCCATTCTTTTGCAAATGTTATTTTGAAAATTATGATGACAAACTTTAATTTATTACATTAGTGTTTAAAATAAGGTTTTTAGAGTTTAACTAAATTTTTTCAGCTTCATTATTTTCTAAAACTTAGTTTTAGAATTTTGTTATCATTTCATTTTAGTTAAAATTCAGTCATGTGGTAAGAAGAAAAAAATTATTTAAGTTCAAGCACTATTCATTGCAAATAAACACATATCAGATGTTGAGTGATCTAAACTCTAACGCTGATAGCCTTATTATTTGATTTCAAACTTTTTTAGTTTGAACTTTCCACCATCGGTGGACTTGCCAATGCATTTACTTATATCAATGCTTAACTTTTCAAAGACGCCACATACTAAATCACACATTCCTTTTCCAGTCGTTGATGTACAATTGATTATAGCTATTACACGTTCGTGTACAGTGTCCGTTGCATATCGGATCACAATAAAACATTGAAATCGTACATTATTGTCTTGTTTTGTACCAATTTGAACGCTAAACACAGCGGCTTCTCTAATCTCTTCAACCATTATATTATATTTGTTAAAGATGTCGGTATAGCATCAATTACTTTATTTACAGTCGTTTTTGAAAAAAATGTGATCAAGTCCCAGCGACCTGAATCATGACGGTTTTGCTTTTTCGAACTACGTCTTTTATATGCGCTTCTAACAAGTTTCCGTGATCCATACTGTCATTTAGCGAAGTGAACCCTGACTCTTCTGCTTCTCTGTAGCTAAGTGCACGCTTACCAATAACTTTTAATTTAAAGTTTCTATGATTCTTTCTAAAATTAAACAATTTTTAACCTCATCAGCCCGTCGGCTAGCAATATTTTTGGCATTGATTTTTAAAACATAAGATTCGGTGCATGCTGCACGGAGTACACTTTTTCATGTTCTGATATTTTTTGATAAATATGTTTGGACTTCATGATGTTTGTTGTTACACCTCTTAGTTAATAGCTTATTAATAAATTATCGACCACCATAATCACCGTTTTTTAATTTAACGATTTAGATTAAATCATTAAAAATAATTAACTAACCTTTACTCTGATATTTCACGGTAAAATATGTGTGGGAACGATACAGTATAAAATATTGAATAAAGCATAAAAAACAAATATGTCGAAACGGAAACAAAATTCGAAACGAATAAAGATTAAAAGTAAAATATTGTCGCTATCGGGTTAAAACCTCGTAAAGAGATTTATCGAAAAAAAAAATATTTGGACACAATATTCAATCGAAAAATTAAAAAAAGTTTCAATAAAAAATAATTTGATATGTCACAACCACATAACTAGAATAAATATAACGGCCTTCGCTCACTTTTAACGGTCGAGCAAGCAGCTTACTTCCGGAGGAAATTTGGAGGGTGATTTTCTTATCGTTCGAGTCAAAAGTTACGATCGTATATTAACCACAAATTTCGGAATATTGCTTTTATTTAAAATGTTAAAATTTTAATTTTTTCTTAATTGTTATTCAATGTGTTAATTAATTACTTTTATTTGGTATAAATTTAAAAAAAATAAAATCGACATTACCGAAAATAATTCGAAGTTGAAAAAATTGGGGTTCTTTGCTGCATATCCCTGCTTCAACCCATAAGGAAGTGTTATATATTGGTAAACAGGCCTCCCTTTGGTCACAACGACGTCGGAAGTTCGTTATAAAATTATATTCAGACACCATATGCAGTAATGATCTTGCTGTTTCAATTTGATTATTTTTGGCACAATGGAAAACCTAAGATAATTTTTTTAGACGGTCGCCGGTCCACTGAGAATTTTCCTGTGTCTCGGCGGCACTGTTCAAGCTTGCTTATACATGTCATTTAATTTAACAAACATTTTCTTTCCAAAATTTAAAAACATTTTCAAGCAATTTTCTCTTACATACATTTAATAAAAAAATGCTTTCATAAAAACGTAAATAAGCATTGACACGCTTGCAGTTCAACAGCATCGCGGCCACAGCTACTGTCATCAGGCTCTGCAACTCGAACGTGACAAACGCATTAAAGAAGGACAACAAGGCGAAGATTTTGTAAGATTATTGATTATGATTTTAAAGATGGTCAAGAAATGTAAAAAAATTTTTTGATGTTTTGGTGTTTAGGTCATCAGCGAGGAACATTTTGGTCTTGAATCCAATTCTTGGGCTCACTTGGATATTTGGAGTGCTGTCGGTCAACGAAGAGCTGATTGTATTTCAATACATATTTGCTATTGTAAATTCTTTGCAGGTCAAGTACTTATGCAAATAAACTTCACAATTTGTTGTAATTATTATGTATTTTTATTTTTTATTTATTTTATTTTCTCAAATAGTAGCCATGTAGCCAAATTTTAACTAGGCTTTCGTAATTATGTTCTGAAATTGAATGAAATTAAAATGTAATTAATAGGTGAAAATACAAAAAATACTAAATTAAGATTTTTTGTCAAATATCTAGGGATTTTTCATATTCATACTGCATTCTGTGTGTCACAAAAAGAATTTCAACGACAAAAGCAAAGTTTCGAGCACCAGCACCAACCAGCAGAAACTGAATGAAAAGCTGCCTCCGTCGCAACAGCCTCGCCTGCACTTGGCGCGTCAATCGCAGGAATGGATGCAACCGAGAGGAAGCATCATCAAAAATCTGACGAAGCCTGAACAGGAAATGTGCTCAGAAAATTATGTGGAATACTCATTTTCCAGTGGCTTTAATAACAAAACTTTTTCGATGTCCGATCAAAGCAATGTTGGCAATTTCAAAAGTCAACTTCCAACGTACTCTCATATATCATCTGATTCTTCCAGAGCTTCGTCAACAATCGAAAATGAAAATGACAACCAAATTATGGGAAAATTTTAAGACAATCACAAAACACATAAAGTAAAAATGTATATTCATCTTTAATGGATTGAACAGTTTACTTAAATGAACTTTTTTAATAGTTTTCATTAATCATAATTGAATTTTACTAGCCAGCGCTTTCAATATTAAACAAAACTGTATCTCTTTATTTGATTTTACGTAAACGAAAATTTTTTAGGTGAAATTGAAATTTGAGAATATGATAACAAACTGCATGATATATGTATATACAGTCGGACCTCCGTACAACGAATTTGATGGTTTTAGAAAAAAAATTCGCTATATAGAAATTTCGTTATATAGAATTTGTTCGAAAAAAATTAGTGTTGCTTAAAAGTGGTTTATATGCTATATATTTATGAAAAACAATTTTTTAATCGTTTATGTTTATAACAGAAAGTTATATAGTATAATCACAAAAAATATGAAAAATAACATAATATTATATATATATATATATATATTTACATAATATTTGAATTTGACTTCAAAAGAAATGAAGCAGAGGATGACTGTGAGGAACTACAGGTACAATGTAGCTCATCGAGCGCAGCCACCTTGACTAAATTTTCCAATCACCATGCTATACAATACAATTCAATACAATACAGTACAATTTACTTCAATTTACCAAATTACAACACACATCCAGTTTTAAAAGTTTACAAATCACAATACACTACAATTTTCAACACACATTTAGTTTAAAAAGTCAATAGATTGTTAAAGCATATTGTTTATAAGGACACTTCATTTCTACGTTCGAATTATACAACTTCACACATTTTCATGCTTTTTTCACGTTCATTTACACACATTCAAAAATGTTTACACACGTTTGCACTCCCTCATTCACATTAACATAGCATTCAGTTTATTTAATTATGTTAAAAAATGTGACTTCAATTTGTCTTTGAAATTTGATAGGAATGTTCGGTGATGCTGAAACTTTTTTTTTAAAATTTGGTTCCAGATTTTCGATACCCTACAGATTACATGACGACACAAGAGGTCGGTTTCGAAATCATTTGCTCTAATGTAATTTGTTCTTTTTTCGCTCTTCTTTACTTTGTAATAGTCGTGAAACATTGCCGGTAATTAATTACTTGCTTGAATACAAATATTGAGACCAAAAACTGATTAATTTTTATAAACATTAAGTTGTTAGTTGACTTAAACAACTGTTCTGCGTGTGCTTTATAATTTGATTTAGTTTCTATACTGATGATCCTCTTCTTTATCAGTTCATTTGGAAGAGTGATGGAAGAATAAGTGTTGGCCCAGGCAATGTTACAATATGACACAGTCGTGACATAAAGTGCATTGTATAACATGATTATAGTGCATAAAATCCTACTCTATTTATCACCGCAATTACTCTTGACAATCTTTTGCATATCTAGTCTGCGTGTGTTTTGAAGAAAAGCTTTTAAGTGCACATCGTGGAGCTATACTGATTTCATCTTTTTACCGAATTTTTAGCATTAATCAATTTAAAGTTTTTAAATATATACACATTTGAGATAACAATTTAAAAACTGTATATTAATATTAATGTACACATAAATGCCTTATATATATATATATATATATACATATATATATATATATATATATATATATATATATATATATATATAATGCCATAAAATGAAAAAAACGTATACTACAAAAAAAATGTCAAATTTTAGCGATTGAGCAGTATCTGGCTAATCAAAGATTCTAAAATTATTACGCAATTCTTTTATATGTAACAATCATAAGAAATTTTCCTTATGTGCTATTACATTTTACAAACATTAAAATTTGAGGCAGAAAATTCGTTGCTTACGACTCGTTGCTTCATTGTTAAACAGACGTCCGTTGCTACTTTGAAAGGCAAACTTTCTCAAGTTTACATGCATATAAACATGAATGTAAACAACCACCGAGCATCTATTATCGGCGTGTAAATAAAGTATGTTTATTTAATTAACTTATTTAACTTAATTTAATTTAATAATAATTGAAATTTTTACAAATAAAATATTATTAGGTAATTATTTATTAAATAAATAATTGATAATTTATTAAAAATTAATTTTTAGTTTATTGAAGTAGTAAGTAAATCAGTTGTGTAAAGTAGTAATGAATAATTGACTAAGTAATCACTACTAAAGAACTAAAACTAAGCTAACTAAACTAAAGCCTGCTAAACTTATCAGGCTTTAGAGTTTTAGACTTAGAGAGGCAAGAGCAAAAATATAATTTTCTATAAAATTTATAGTATAAATAAATGTAGTATTATATTATATAAGTATAATAAACTTATGCCATTGTATCTTATAGTAACTTATGGTTATCGTTATAGTTATGTTATGGAATAGTGTAATGTTGTTGTTATAGTATGACTTATAGTGTGATGTTATTGTTATAGTATGATTAACTTTTAAATAAAAAATATTATATTTATAATTTATATAGTACTGAATCACAATAAAAAAATGTATTTTATATTATTTTTATTTATTTTTTTATTTATATATCATTTTAATTACAATAAGATTAAGATCAAAATTAAATGTTAAATAATTTGTTTATTAAAATTAATTAAACTAAAACTAAAATATTAATGATTAACTATATTTATTTTAATATTTATTATAATATTAAAATTTTAATTCATTTATTAATTTATTTTATATGTAAGTAAATCAGTGAAGTTAAGCTTATATATATATATATATATATATATATATATATATTATGATATTATAATATAAAATTTTAAATTAAATTATTTATTAATATAAAATACATTGAACAAATTATTTTTTATTTATAAAAAATTATTATTACATGAATAAACAGTTTAATTTTTAATTAATTTAATTGTAATTAAAAAATATATAATATTATAAACAATTTATATTATAAACTGCTTAATTACAATTTCATTAATTAAAAATTAAACTGTTTATTCATGAATAATTTTTATATAAACAAAAAAATATAATTTTTGTTCATTATTCATGTATTTTATATTAATAAATAAATTAATAATTTTGTTATAAACCAAAAAAAATTATTATACAGTTTTAAACAAATCAAAGTTGTAAAAAATCAAATAATAAATAATTTATGATTATAATAAATAGTAACAAAATTTTATGATAATTTTTATTCAAGCATCTTTAAATGAAATGAACGATCCATGCCAGAGTTCATTCATGGATGTGCATTATTCTTATGAAGCAGTGAAGTTTTTAGAAAAGGAAAAGAAAGCTACTCAAAAGATATTAACTGACATTTTGTAAGTCAGATGTAGATGTAACTATTGTATAATTATTATCGCTTTTATATTTTGTGATTGGAATTTAAAATTTTGAAGAAGTATTGATACAGCTGAGAAAAATTATAAAAATTAATGGGACCTCTCCTACCTCCAATGACGATGTGTTAAAGCAGTCCAGTTACGAAAAGAGTAGGGACCTGCGAATCAGGAAATTTTTTTAAATCGAATATCAGAAAATATTCTAATTTCGAATCGAATTCGAATAGAATATTCTTGAAAAAACTTGACAACCAACAAGTGTAAAATAAAACTTCAAATTCAAAATTTATATTATATTTATTTAATACTAAAACACAAAAAGTTAGCAATAATTAAATTGCGAAGCAGGCCTTTTAAAAGAATAGATCTTTATTTATTTTGGCCCAAATCAAAGTTTCAGCATTATTTTGACTGAGAAATTGTGACGATAGTCAGTAATAATTTGTCCTCCAACTGAATTAACTCTTCCTGAAGAACAATTTGTTGCCTGAATTGCAAGCAAATTCCTAGCTGCTCTGGCCAAAAGTGGTAAAATATTAATACTTTCTTTCCAAAACTGAAGAGGATAGCTGTTTCGATCTACAACTGCTTGCTTTAAATACAAACTGACTTCATCCTTAATTTGCTCAGAAATGGTGGAAATTTTGTTGATTCTGGTATCTCCTTGTCAGCTTTCCAATGATCAAATGTGATGGAAGGTTTGGAGGTTGCCATGTCTGATCTTAAGTTTGCTCCAAATTGTTCATGAAGGGTATTGACCATATCATCTAATCTTCGGGAAAGAGTTGTTGGATGTGGTGGATTGTAGCTGCCATTTGTAAAGACAGAGCACAAATTTTTGAATCCAATTCCTGCAGCACTTTCAAAGGGTCTTCCATCAGCCACAATAAAGTTCAAGACTGCTTTATCATATTTTTTCTTTGTGGAAAAATCCAATGTTTTGACAAAAAAGGTCGAAGTTTTCATGTTTGATTCATCCAGCTTTCGCTTTGATGCTGATGATGTTGATGGAGCACAAAGTTGCTTTTCTGCTTTCACTTTTTCAACTTATTCTTTTGCTGTGGCATGAATATTAGGATGACTTTTTTCCAGATGAGTCCAAAAATGAGTAGTGGTTCCTGTTTTTTGTACTGAAAATTTTTTTGAGCACGTTTTGCAGAAAAAGTTTTTGTCAACCTCGTCGAAGTATTTTCGAATTGAAGACATGATGAAGGGCCTAAAAAAATTAAAAAGAAACTAAAGATTAAAAATTAAAGTTAAAATATAAATTCCTAATATAAACATACCACAAAAAAAATTGCGGAAAAAAGTGCAGATATTCGTGTCGTGTAATTGATCCGAAGTTGACCCAGTATGATCCAAGATTGTTTAATGAATAAAATATAAACAATTTGTTTAAGAACAAGTATAAAGTATTTTCGGAAATTCCGAATCGAAAGCAAGAAAAATCTTGTTTCAGAAGCTGTTTTATAAACCAGTTTAGTACTTTTTACACACCAAAACTGAGCTTGAATTATTCACAAAAAGCATTACTTTTTTTAAAAAATATTCGAAGATTCGAAAATTTGCAAATAATTTCGAATCGAATTTGAATATTCTTTTTATATTCGAATTCGAATCGAATATCGAATATTCGCAGGTCCCTAGAAAAGAGGAAACAAATAGGCTACTAATAATCCGACATGGGCAGTTAACGTTTTTTGGTCACATTATGTAGAATGAAGTATATTAATTAGCATTAAAGTCTGAAAGTTTTAGAATAGTCATTAGACAAATTACTTGTTTAACACCTGTTTTTTTCAAAATTAGCACCTTCTTAGTTTGCATCCATTTTCTCAAATTTTTTCACTAAAATATAATTTATTTTTTAATTTCTGCCATTTTGTGTTTTAGTTTCAGTAACTTTCAGATTTTTCATCTAAACTTTCAGATATAACTCAGAACATTCAAATTTATTTTTATAGCATTTGCAAATACTTTGACTAGATTCAAGTTTTTGAACAGGTTTTAAGTTGTGACATTTCTTTAATTTTTACTGAGCAATTTTGCCAACTAATGGTTCACCATTAAGTTTTTTATAAACAAGACAATGATCAACTTATTTTTGTTTGACGTTAGATACTTTATGTAATCAATGATGAATTTATATATTCAAATGTTTTATTTTTATCTAAACAGACAAACGCAAAACGTTTTGCTGGAAACTTTGCAACATGAAAACGCAAAATTTATTGATAATCAGATGCTAAATGAAGTTTCTAGAATTGTATGTTTTATTTTTAAAATTATTTTTTGTCAATGTTATATTATTGTTATTGTTGCGTACACACTTTTTTGGATGACTTATTGCGCGGGTGCCAGGCACCTGGTGCTCAGTAACGGAAATTATTGTATTGTTTTCGCTTTGCTTCACATGGCCAAACCATCGTAGGCGATGACGACGACATGCGTCTTTCAACGTGCACAGTCTCAATCGGTTCAGGATTTGGATATGGTCCCTTAGGTCAACATGCTGCATCTAACAAATCATCTTCATGTCAGTTCGGTGAAGCTGCTGTTCGAGTTTTGTTGTCATCGGCCACGTCTCTGCACCACACATCAGAACTGAACGTATAGCTGTGTTTTACAGGTCTGAGCGTAGCGGTAGAGAATTGCTTCGCCGCATCAGTACCTAGGCAAGGAGGTGCATCTGCTCCATGCCGCACGTATGCGTCCACGAACGGCGGCATCAGCTGTTCCAGTACAATCCAGCATATCTCCCAAATATTGAAATGAAGTACACACATACAGAACATGGCCAATGACCAGAGACCACAGGCTCAGCGGTACCACCAGTGATCATAATTTTTGTTTTGTCAAGGTTTACCTTTAGCCTGTGTTCAGCAAGCTGGGTATTCCAGATCTCAAACTTTCTGGCTGCGTTTTGTTCCGAGGCCGCCGTCAGGACGATATCATTTGCATATATCACATTCCATACGTTTTCTGAACGTATAGGTTTGGTTATTTCTTTCATCACTGTGATGAAGAGCAGGGGGCTGAGTATTGATCCCTGACGGACGCCGACGATAATATCAAATTCATTCGTGTTACGGCTGTTGTGCTGACCCTTGTTTTTGTGTAAGAGTACGTTGCCATAACCAGCCGAACCAGATATTCAGGAACAAGCTGTCCACGAAAACTCCACCTGATTGACTCACTAGGCACTCTGTCAAAAACCTTTTCCAAGTCCACAAAGACAGTCGCTTTTGCTTTGCCATGTATTTTTCTTGTAGTTGACGAATGATATCGATAGCATCAATGGTGTATCTCCCTGCCATGAAGCCGTACTGGTAAATACCAATTGAAACGCACGACAACAGTCTTCTCTCCATGACTTTTTCAATAACTTTCATGGGTTGTTAGGGTTAACCCTAACCCTAACCTTAACCCTAACCCTACTGTTCCATTCCACTGGTAGTATGGATTTACTCCACATCTCCCGACAGATAAGAGAGCTCTAAAGCCTGCCCCACCAGATGCCTTGATGATATCATTTGTAAGTCCAGACGAACCAGCCGCTTTACCAACCTTTATTGCCTTCAGCGCATCCGTAAACTCCTCAGCTGTAATGCCTTGAATTGGCCCTTCCACCAGAAGTGCATCAAAGTCTACCCCGATATGGTTTGTTTCATTCAATAACTGACCGAAGTAATCCTTCCAGTGATCCTTCACTTCATTTTGCAAGGTTATTATGGTGCCTTTATTAATCTTTATGCATGTGGCACCAACTATATCCTTTTTCAGTTTTTTGGCCTTATTTGCTACTCGGTAGAGTGACCGAATTTGTTCGTCTTTACTTCCAGTCAGCATTGATTTGCACGAGCTATCGCAACCTGACATTACGCTTCTGTGTTTTGTTATGTGTGTTCGGTAACTTCTGGATGTTTTTCGATCTTCATCAGTCTTTGTCTTCTGCCATTGTTTGAAAGTTGCTTTTTTTTACTGGCAATAGCATTTTGCACCGTCTCGTTCCACTACCAAGTTTCGCGGTTGTGCTGGCGTTTTGGTTCAGATTTCCCACATACAGCTGTTGCAGCGTTCACTAGGGTGTCCTGAAAAGATTTCCAGGTTATGTCTACCTTCTCCAGGTGATACAGCTGTGCCGATTCCAACTCCTCGAATTTCTCCCTGAACATGGGGTTCTTCAGTTTCCATGTCTTTATTTTAGTAGGCATTCCATTAGTCACAAGACGTGATCTTACATGATCATATCGGCCACCAACAATCGATGGTGAGGGATGCAAGCTTCGCCTGGAATGACTTTTGTATTCCTGATTAGTCGTCTGTGTTGTTGTCTGACGACAATAAAATCAATTTGTGTGCATGACATCCCGCTTTTATATGTGATCAAATGTTCTGCCCTCTTCTTGTAATAAGTGTTCGACGATCTCCATGGAGCGTCCAGTAAGCGATCCAGTATTTAAAGTGCCAAGTCTGATATTCCAGGAGGGGACGCCCGATTTTCCGCAACATCCCTCTATTGTTGCGTACTTCCTAGAAATTGTCACCCCTTGACCATTTTAGGTATTCCAGGAAATAGGGGATATTTTCTTTTTTCGTGACGACATGAAAAATGTTTGGGTCAAAAAAATTTTATATCTGGAATTGCCCAATTCATAACGACAACCACCAGTTATAAGCAGTGGGCCTAGCCTTTTTGCTGGAAGCACACAAGGCAGCGCGGTTGCAGTTTATCTCGTGCCCAAGAGAGCACTGTTGTAAGCAATGCGCCTAGCCTTTGGGTCAATGCTCCCTGTTCCACAAAGCAGTGGATTTAGAATAGAAGATCATCCGCTGTTGGAGTCGTTGTCCTAGGATTCTCTGCCTCTCTTACTGCTGTCTTTTTTTTTGGTACAGTTGGTTTGCGGCATCTTATTCCGTAATATTCGATGCAATCCTAGAAGGTCTCCCTGCACACCTTCCTCACCTTAATATCACTGCTAAATAAAAAATACTATTTTTGTTTCACAATATACGAAAAAAATTTTGTGATTTTATTGATATTATTAGTATCTATTTATAATATTAAAGACGATTGCTTATTGCTATACATATTTATTTTCTAAAAAACACAGTCTTAAAAAAAAATTGTCAAAAAAAATTTTTTTAAATAACATTTTCCGGAGTCGCAGTCGGATAAAAAAATTCAACTCCGACCCCTGAAAAAATTCAATATTCTGGCCCCTGAAAAAATTCTATTCCGACTCCAGTCCCTTAAAAAATTCCGACTCCGGCAAATATCTCCGTCTCCGACACTGCGATAATGAAATTAATAATAAAAAAAAAAAATAATTTATCAGCACAAAGTGATCCTTTGGAGCGAGCCAATTTTTTAAACTAAGTCAACTGAACCATTAGCGTATATTTGAACCTCTGCCTTCCAGCTCTTCTCAAGGCCTTCTTTACATATGCCTGTCTAATCAACATCATCAAAACCTTTATCCATTTCAGTTACTCCTATGTTGGATTTGGTTAATTACCACGGTGGTTGATACTCTAACTCATTCTTTTGTTTCTGTTTGACAGCCAGTTGATTCATTTTTTAATAGTACTAAGCAGTGGAAAAATAGACTCCAATCAGGGTTTTTTTCAAACGTACAATTTTTTTATCTTATAAAACGTTACTAGCGTCATCTTTATCTCAGTTTTACCACTTTGTAACTGTCTTCACACAAATCTTGTCTCATCTATCAGATATGCTTGCCTGAAACAGCTTCTCTTGGCGAGCAACGTAGGAATGAGCTTCTAAAAGCTTTTCAAATTCAAAAAATCAAGCAACAATTAAAAAAAACACTTAAAATCAATTGATTTTATGCCATCCCAATCATTCCAATTTATTACACTTCAAATATTTTTTAATTTATTAAGGTATTCTTAGTGCTTCACCTTTTCTTTTCCTTCATGTGTCTGTCTTTTTTTGTTTTGTAAACAATTAGTTGAAATTGATAGCAAATTTATTGGATGAATTATTAAGAATGCTTGCCTGAAGACACACTTGTGATGGAAATGTATACGTATACTAATACGACTTGTGATGGAAATGTATACGAATACTAATACTCTCGTCAGCACAACGGTTGGAAACACAGATGCATTTGACATCGGCGTTGGAGTTCACCAAGGCTCGATTCTCAGTCCACTGTTATTTATAACTGTGATGGAAGAAATCACAAAACCGATACGCACTGGTGACATTTGGAATCTAATATATGCTGATGATATCGTTTTGACAGCCACATCTGATCAGAGTGCAGCACACCAGACTCGCCGATCATGGATTCAAAGTCAACATCAGCAAAACCAAAGCAATGAACACTGGTGAACCCATCCGTTCCACAGCTACTGGACGATGGCCCTGTTCAGTTTGTAAAGCTGGTGTAGGTAACAATTCAATCAAGTGTCAGCAGTGTAACCAGTTGTGTCACAAACGTTGTTCAAAAATAATTGGTACATTATCTAAAGTGTCCAATTTTGTTTGTCCTGCTTGCATCAATCCACAACAACAAATTCGAAATAGCAATGTTTTTGAAGCCATTGAGGTAGAGAAAGTCACATTGTTTCAGTATCTAGGAAATGTTCTGGATTGTACTGGAACAGCTGAAGCTGCCGTTCAAGCACCCATACGTGCAGCCTGGAATAAATGGCATCTCCTTGCCTCTATATTGATGCGGCGTGACATCCCACTACCACTACGATCAAGACTTTATAATACTGTGATACGTCCGGTGTTGTTATATGTTGCAGAAACATGGCCAATGACAACCAAACTGGAACAACAACTTCAACGAACCGACATGAAAATGCTCCGATGGATGCGACGAATTAGTCTGAAGGACCACATCAAATCTACCGAAATCCTGCGTCGTGCTGGTTTAGATGATATAAAGAACGAATGCCGGCAAATCGTCTGCGGTGGTTTGGTCATGTCAAAGGAAGTGGAAACAGTGCCATAACTTCTCTTGCAGATGTTGAAGTACCTGGCACACGTCCCAAAGGCCGTCCAAGAAGTACTGGTCGCAAACAATCGAGCAAGACATGAAAGCTTTAAATTTAAATGAAATGGATACAACTGATCGTCTAATTTGGCGCAAAAAGTTGATGGCAAAGAAAACAACGTCCTACCTCGGGAAACTGGGTCTCTGGACGCAAAACGAAGATTGATTGATTGATTGATTGATTGATTGATTGATTGATTGATTGATTGATTGATTGATTGATTGATTGATTGATTGATTGATTGATTGATTGATTGATTGATTGATTGATTGATTGATTGATTGATTGATTGATTGATTGATTGATTGATTGATTGATTGATTGATTGATTGATTGATTGATTGATTGATTGATTGATTGATTGATTGATTGATTGATTGCCTGAAGACAAATACTAATGTGTCCGTTGATCGATAGGATTGAAATATTATTTCTTATTTACTTTTATTAAACAAGTTCTTAACAATATTTTTGGCAAATAACTGGATTTAATATAAAAAAAATGTAGCATCATAGATTTGTACACGTTCTGGACCAAAACTCTTATTTGTACTAAATTTCAGAGAAAAATTTTCTTTGTAAAATTGCCCAATACTGCTCTAAATTTTTTCATTTAAAATTTAATTACTTTTCAAACAGTTGAATAAAGGAGTTGTTTATTGCAGCAAGTTGGTTAGCATTAAAAAAGACATGGACTTGTTGATGAGGAGAGTTCAATCACTGAAGGTTGATATATATTTCACCACACATATGCATCTTTTATGTATCATCATATTCATTATATCACCATCTTTGATGTATACATCATCGTCATTGGTGTATCAATGTATTCATCACATCACTATCTTTGATATATTAGTATATTTATCACAACATCATCTTCATTGATATATCATTATATTCATCACATCAACATCTTCGATTTATCGGTATATTTATCGAATTATCATCATTGATGTATCATAACATTTATTACATCATCATTTTTGATCTATCATTGTCATATCATCTTCGATTTATCATTATTCTCATCACATCATCTTTGATGTATCATTATATTCATACCACGTCATCATCTTTGATGTATCATTATATTTATGTTATTATGACTATTATGTTCATTTATTTTGTTATCGTTCCCCGTACCCTACCAACTTTTGCAATTAAGTTTGAATGAACGAATATACATGTGAGCAGGCACCAATAAATCAAACTCATTGACATGCTGCTAAGAATAAGCAATATTGAGCCAGGCATAACAAATTTGGTGAGCAAATTACAATAGCATCCACTGACTAGGATAGTGTCAGTTAACACCAGCTCTCCATGCTCCGACTTTCTGTCACTGGTGCCAGTGCCAGATTAAGAGCTGGCCGAAATGCATTTAGATGCCCCTAAATTGACCTTCCGATTCATTGACCTACTTTTTTCCCAACGCAAATTCAAAAAAGCTGTGCCAGTACACAGGAACTGTTTTTGATTTAATTTTTTATTTGCAATTTGATTTTTTTAAACACATTTTTCCGCTTTTTATTAAATGATTGCAGTGTCTAAACAGGTTAAATCTGTCAAAAATCAGTACCTGTCTTGAAGTTTGAAGTGCTACATAATCTGCTGCTTGATTCGTTGATTCAATAATTTCTTCATCATTGATGGTATAATATGTGTTGATCTCAAATTCATGACTGTATGTAAAAGATACTGCAGATGTTTTACTGTCGTCGCGAAAAGACAACAATTAACGTTTTCTACGTGTCTCTAAACATATTCCACTGTTAAATGTTCCATTCCACTAATACTACCAGTGGAATGGAACAGTAGCACAACTGTGCCGATATATAAAGGAAAATGAGATCAACTGAAATGGTACTCATATCAGGGTATACGTCTTCTGAACAACCCATGAAAGTTATTGAAAAAGTCATGGAGAGAAGACTGTTGTCGTGCGTTTCAATTGGTAGTTACCAGTACGGCTTCATGGCAGGGAGATACACCATTGATGCTATCTATATCATTCGTCAACTACAGGAAGAATACTTGGCAAAGCAAAAGCGACTGTTCCATGCATTCGTGGATTTGGAAAAGGCTTTTGGCAAAGTGCCTTGTGAGGCAACCAGGTGGAATCTACGTATACAGTTTGTTTCCGAATATCTGGTTCGGCTGGTTATGGCAACGTACTCTAACACAAAAACTCTGGTCAGCACAACAGCCGGTAACACGAATGAATTTGATGTTAACGTCGGCGTCCATCAGAGATCAATACTCGACCCTCTGCCTTTCATCACGGTGATGGAAGAAATAACCAAACCTATACGTTCAGATAACGTATGGAATGTGTTATATGCAGATGATATCGTCCTAACGGCGGCCTCGGAACATAGACGCAGCCAGAAATTTTGAGATCTGGAATACCCAGCTTGCCGAACCCTGGCTAAAGGTAAACTTTGACAAAACAAAAACCACTGAGCCTGTGGTTTCTGGTCATTGGCCATGTTCGGTGTGTGGGGCTGGAGTTGAAAGCCTATCAAATGCCTGCGATATCAGCAATGGTGTCACAGACGATGTTTGAGAATTACCAGCTCACCGAGGAAAGTGACTGATTTCGTATGCCCCGCATGCATCAACCCGCGACAACGGAGCCCAGATAATGATACGATTACCGGGATTGAAACTGATATTTCATTTCAATATTTGGGAGATATGCTGGATTGTACTGGAACAGCTGATGCCGCCGTTCGTGGACGCATACGTGCGGCATGGGGCTGATGCACCTCCTTGCCTAGGTACTGATGTGGCGTAGCAATCCTCTACCGCTACGCTCAGACCTGTAAAACACAGCTATACGTTCAGTTCTGATGTGTGGTGCAGAGACGTGGCCGATGACAACAAAACTCGAACAGCAGCTTCACCGAACTGACATGAAGATGATTTGTTAGATGCAGCATGTTGACCTGAGGGACCATATCTATAAAACCAAGATCCTGAACCGATCGGGACTGTGCACGTTGAAGGATGCATGCCGTCGTCATCGCCTACGATGGTTTGGCCATGTGAAGCGAAGCGAAAACGATACAATAATTTCCGTTACTGAGCACCAGGTGCCTGGCACTCTCCCAAGATGTCGCCCAAATAAGTCTTGAACGCAGACCATATAGGAGGACTTGAAGGCATTTGGTCTCAAGGAGACAGACGCAATGGATAGATTAGCATGGAAACAGTAGCTGATGAATGGAATATAAAAGTCCGACCCATAACTAATGGAGACCATAAACGAGAATTGATTGATTGATTGATTGGATTGATTGATTATGTCTGAACAATAGATATAATTTTCAACATGTGTGTTGGCACTCTGTTCATAATGTTGAAATCTGCCACGCATATCCTGAAAGAAAGACGTCTATAACCAGTACAACTGGATAACGATATCTAATGATATTCCAGGTGGCCGAAGTGTCTTGCTGGCCTTGTGGAACTGGACAGTTATATCCTTCCAGACTAAAGACATAATGCCAATTTCTAGTTCTTGCACTTTTTTGTAGAACGGTTCGGTTTCAAGACTTCCCTCCATTATCGACGCTCGGTTTCATACTGTTGCATCAATTGTGAGTCATTTGTCTATATATGGCAGCATAGATAATCGGTGTTTAACACTGCCATCATGTTTTGTAAGCCTTTTTGAAGCATGCTTCTAATTGCTGAAATCAATGGCAAACTGCAGTTTCGAGTATGAAAACAATTGAGAAATGTAACAGAAAAGAGAAGTCGTAGATTCGTTCAAATATCATCACCTTTAAAGATTTGGTAAAAATGATGTAAAAAAAAATTACAAATCCGTGAAAGGAGGCCCCCTTTGAAATGGAGGTTTTGGCCTTTGGCCATGTTGTCCTGCGTTAATTCGGCACTGACTGGCGCTTCACAAAAAAAAAATTGCTATAGGGAGTGCTGAATCGACACCAACGTTAAATTTCACTTGTTCTTTCACGTCATTTATGTAATTTTAATAATTCAACTGTATTTTAAATTTGTTTGCAGTTTCCATTAGTGATAATAATTATTTTAATTCGTTTTAAAACTGCAAAATCATTGAAACGTTTTCCTGGACATATAGAGTAGAATTAAAAAGTTGACGCAGTTGAAAACACGTCGTTACTTTTTTTTTATCTGGGAACATGTTTTATATTTTATTTTTTCATGAATCAGATGAAGTTCGTGAAATGTAAATATTTTTGTTAAGAAATGTTAACTCTTCTTAGAATATTATTTCAAATAATGCAGATAAAGGCAAAAAAATGAATATTTATTGCAGTGCAGGTCAATCGATTTGTCCCAGAAGAAGTTGAAAGTGTTGCTGGAAGAAGAATTTCGACGAGATGCTGTTATGGAAGAAGAACGTAAACTGACTGCCAAACTTGCGATCCGACCTGACATTTTGCCTCAAACAGACTAGTTCAAGAACTCTTCGATATTTTATCTAATTTAATGGTGCATTTCAATGGTAACAGGGTGATTTGTAAATATGTTGATTATATATATAAAAGATTTTCTGTTCTATCATGCATAAAACAAACAAAAATTTTGGTTTTGAACTAAAAAAACTTGAAAATGATTTACGATCAACCGTTATGAAAGTCGAAAAGTTAAATTGGAAGTTAACTAACTCCGAACATGCTGTGATTTACTACGCTCAGAAAATCTTTGTTTCAAGCCCCAAACTATTTGATCTATAACTGTTATGGATCAAATTGACATTGACACAAAATTTATTTTTAGCACTTTCAAATGGTTGGTTTGCTAAAATTCTCTTTTCTTTTAACAGTCTGCACTTCAATTTCGAGGTTTCTTCTCTCGAGTGCACTGTTTGCATATCTCAAACATATCTTATCTCCCAGATAACAAAATTTTTCCACCTTCCCTTCACAATCTATTTCTATCTCTTTTTTTATATCCTTTTGTTCCCCTCCATCAACACATCTTTTACAACTGAAAGCAGCCACTTTTAGACTGCCAATCAGTCCACTGCATCTCTTATGCACCCATTTCTTACAAGCACTACAGATTATTGAGTTTTCTCCAACACCCGTCTTGCACACCGCACACGGCCACTTTGCAGAATTCTCTACTTGTCCAGTCCTTACTTTACAACACATAACTTTTGTTTTATTCATGTTAATCCTTAGCCCTTTTGTTTTCATTGCATCTTTCCAACACTTAATCTTCTTCACCGATTTTTTTTCAGAATCTGCAATCAGACACAAATCATCCGCATAGAGCAGCTCCCATGGCAAGCCCACGCAGTAATTCTTCGAAAATGTACTTACTAATTGTTATATCTTTTAAACTCAAGGAATACATGTGTTCTTAGGATGGTTGTCAACATAGAAACCTTAATAAATTTAGCCACATCATTGCTTCAAACAAAAAAATATGTACTGACTTACATATTCATCCAAGACCATCATGAATTATTTTTCAATTTCATTTGAAGTTGAAAAATGAACTAGCTTGATTACTTGACAAAAGTGACTTTAATTTTATGTATTTAAATTTCATGTATTTAGGGAGAAGCAATGGCAATTCAAATGTCCAGCAACTGGAATCTATATTCAAAAAAGTGTACTATTGATATGGTATTGTCCCTTAAAAAACAGGTTATTCAAATATGTTCTATCCATACAGTTGCTTTAAATGAGGCTATACATATGTTGTCTTATAATTTTTTAGGTAATTTTAGGTAATTTTTTTTTAAACAAATAGTATTTGAATCAGAATTTAAAATTCCAGAGGATCAGTTTTAAGATATTTTTGAAGAGACGTCTTTAGATTCACAAATCATGACGTCAATACCATTTTCACTGTTATTGAAAATGCAGTAGCGTATATTGCTGGATGGGTTGTTAGAAAAGTTACCAAAATAATAGATTGTAACAAGTGTAGGTTAGCACTCTTTGATATAAAAGGACAGGATACCATGTTACACCAGCAGCTTCTGATACTAAAAGACAATGGTGGTCTAGTTTTCCCATCCTGTGGTGTTGTTCAGAAAATAATTTTTTTTCATGTTTATTTTTATTTACAATGCTGGAATATATAGATCTTTAACATCTCATTTCTAGAAAATATATATTACCTAATATATATTTTGTGACTAATTCATATTTGTCAATCAGATTTGCCATGTCACAAAAAGATATTTGAAAATGGTAATAGACTTGTCTAAAATTAATAGAACAATTGTTGTATCAAGTGTTTTCAGTGAATTGTCGAATAAAGATCTATTCAACCTTAAGGATCATATTATTGAAAGTGCAGATGATATAATCATTTTTTTTTCTTTATTGAGATTGATAACAAAAACGTATATAGATGTTTGTTCTTTTCATTTGGCCAAAAACAACAGTCAGTTGAGAATTCGTTGAAAATATCATAAGCACTTCAAGAGCCAGTAAAATTTTATACTCATTTAAAAAATTATATTTTCACTTGCAGAAGATTATTTATTTATTTTTTATTTAAATTTCTTTTATGCATCTGGCTTTTGTGACTTTTATGCATTTCTAAATCTCTCTTTTGTGATGATTTTTTTGTTAATTTTTAAACATTTAAATATTTCCTAATTGAAATCTTTTATTATTGTTTTTACTTTTAAAACGTTTTTACTGATAGTCTTATTATCATATCGGTATATCTGGTAATAAAGTTTAATAACTTAACTCATTAACATCATTCACATCAATATTAAACAATTTTCAGCATTTCTCGCCATTTTTTAATCTTTATTTCTTTTTAATTTAACCACTTTTCAAAAAAATGTAAATAGATATAGGCATTTATTAATTTTAACTTTTCAGCTATTACAAAAAAGTTTCAATGTTTTCAGATAAATCTAAGACATTATTTTTGTTTTTAAGACCATTTAGATATTGGTAAATTTAAATAAAGTCAAAAGCGTGTTATGCATTTTAGAAAATTTTTATCTGCAAATTAACAAACGTTTAGTTCATTAAAGCTATAAATGTTATATGCATTTGATTGTGTAAACCATGATGTTTTGCTGGCAAGACTACGTAACGATTATGGTATTACAGACACAGCTCATAAATGGTTCATGTCGTATTTGACGAACCGAACACAGCAGGTTTCGTTTAACAATTCAGTGTCTGATGATGCCTTGGTAACAACAGGTGTGCCACAAGGCTCAGTTCTGGGACCAATTCTTTTTATTTTGTACACAGCAGATATAATAAAAATAATTTCTTCTCATGGATTCACTTGTCATGCGTTTGCCGACGACATTCAGGTTCTAGTCACTGGTCCTCCAGGTTCGTTTCGTGATGAGGTTGATAGATTTGTCCAGTGTTTGAAAGAGGTTGGATATTGGATGTCATCAAACTCGCTCAAGCTCAATGAATGTAAAACGTAGTTGCTATCGTAAATAGTGACAAAGAAGAATATAATGCTATCGATGAAGAAAAGGAGACCAAAGAAGAAACCTGACACCTAATTCGCATCAAAGTTCAATTTTACAACTCCAAAGTTAATTTTTACAACGTCAAAGTTCATCTTGACAAAGTCAATATTTTCCTATATATACAGCAAGGAGCATTAATGATGATTCATTCGGAATCGAAATATGGCCTTATTTGCAGCATGAATTTGAAAAATAAGTTTATTTTGAATTTTAATAAACTAAACGTTCACTAGAAAACTTTAGTGAGAAAAATCGAAAAAACGAACTACAAACATATTAACGCCAAACATTCGGTAGAATTTATAGAATATTGTAAAAATTATGGTCTATTACCAACATATATATATATATATATATATATATATATATATATATATATATATATATATATATATATATATATATATATATATATCCATAGATAAAACCTCGTAAAGAGATTTTTCGAAAAAAAAGTATTTTGACACTATTCAAATGAAAAATTGAAAAATGTTCTAATGAAAAATAATTTGATATGTCACAACGACGTCGGAAGCTCGTTATAAAATTATATTTAGACACCATATGCAGTAATGATCTTGCTGTTTCAAATTGATTATTTTTTAATAAAATGGAAATTTCTGTTAAAACCTAAAATAATTTTTTTTGGCGGCCGCCGGCCTACCGGGAAAACTTCCCTGTGCCCCGGCAGCCCAGTGACAGCCTGCTTGGGTTTGACGTTTATTAATGGCTTGATCTGACCCTGACACGATGACAAAGAAAATAACACGAGATATTATTACAAACTTTCTTCTTAAGAGTTACAAATTATTCAACTGTGTCGTTCGTAAGTCATTCTTCCTTCATTAGTCATTGTGCTAGTAACACTATTACTAGACTTATTAATTAATGACAAAAAGACACACACTCGCGCGCATGCAGTCATACACACATAAATATAAATCAATATAAATATATATATATATATATTTCTTGCATACACACACACACACACACCGATCTCACAATTAACAGATTATCAGCGCGGCACGATAACATCATGAACATTTATTAAGCGTGTTGTCAGATTGAATCGAGTCATGTCACGATTTATATAGCTCTTCATAATTTAATGTTGCTCACACTTTCTTTTAATCTAACGGTCGAAATGAATAATTTCCGTTTCCACCATAAACATATGAAATGAAATAATGAAGCTTAATTTTTTTTATTGAAAATAACTAGTGCAATTTATCAAATTTAATATTTTGCAGAATCATTTCACACAGGCCATGAACGGTTGACGACTTTTTGTTCTTTAATCAAAAAACTGCGAAATTTTTTGTGATTCATTAATAAGATCCGCATTCGGATGCAGTTGCGTTATCATTGCATACACATATATTGTACAAATATATAGGTCAAAATTTAACTTGCATATATATATATATATGTATATATATATTATATAGAACGTGTGATGTTATGTTGATGAGGGTTCTCTACCTAACCTATCGTATTATGTGGAGTCCGGTTTTACAGTTAGTAATTGCGTCAAACATTTCATCTACATATGAACAAGGAAACTATAGATTCGCTCATTGATGCTCACATATGAATCCAGTTGTAAAATTATACAAGTTACCAAATTGTTGATAATTTGAATTGATGACTTACCTTATACAAATTTAGGATCAAGTTAGTTATGATAAGCATAAATATCTCGATAATTTTAACACACTCTCACCCATAGTTTGTTGTAACTTCCTCTATTGCAAATAGCAAAAGTATTAGAATAATTATAAATGAGAACTGTGTGCGAGCGTCCAGTCGTCTTTCTGCTTTACAACTTTCCTTCTATCCTTTCTTTTTCGAGGCTGACCCTCCTTCTATAGGAAAGAACATGGGCATGTGCTTGTGCAAGTGTGTCTACCTAACTACACAGTGCGCGTTTATTGAATTGCTTCGGTTAAACACGTTTTCCTAATTCCCTATATTATCGACTGCCTCTCAGAAATGACCTGCGCATCAATTGAATTGTTTTGCTGGGAAACTGTCTTGCATTAAATATAACTTTTGCATATTTGCGTTAATTGAATTGCGCGTGTTTGTTTGCTTGCATGTGTGTGTTTTGATTGCTTCAAATGTTAATATTCAAAAACTACAATCCTTCGCTAAACGTTGGGTATTTGAAAAATGTTTTTTCGGCGTCTTCAATATAAATCTCAAGCTAGGTTTTTAACTCATGTATAATACTGTTAACAAACTAACTAAACAAATAAACACCAACTGTAAAAGTCTGATAAGCCATGAAGTGTGCAGACTGATCAATTCAATGAGAAGACGAAACAGTGATAGAGCCGCCATAGGCTAATGGGATATTGACTAAAAGTATGTTTATTGACCTATATGTATATTTATGTTGTTTTGTAAAATAAAATAACCATAACTGGGGATTTTGGGATGTAATGTTGCACAACACCTTGCACCAAACCAAAGAAACAACAAGTGAAAACGGCGTCATGTAGATGTTTTTAAATTAAACATATTAATTTAGCAGCATAACAGAAAAAATATTCACAGCGGTGACAGATTATTTCACGCCAAGTTTACTTAAAACTTTCTCAAAAAATATCAAACGTGCAATTTTTTGCACAAGAGGGAACATTAAAGTATTTGTTGTTACAAGTAAAAAGTATGTTTGAAAATTTGTTTTTAAATTTATTTTGCAAATTTAAAAAAAGAAATCAAGCGAAGGAATAAAGTTTAAAATTTATTTTGACGAGCAACTGTAGTGTAGATCTTGTTTACGAAGACTGACTCTGGTGACGGCGGTTTATGAAATCGTGTAGCCCTTTTTTCCCTGCCAACTGTTTTCGTTAATGAATTTGATTTGCAAGCTGATATGCCAAACTTTAGAGAAATCAATTAATGTTAATCCGAAAAATCTTCCATAACGCTAATATAACTTACCAGTTCTTGTTCAAAAGTCTCATCAAATATCCCATGAGGCCGACTTAAACATTTTCTGAACCAAAGGCAAATTTATTTAGGTTTCTGACATGGCGAAATAGAGTCTGCACTAGAATGCCAAACTGTTGGCTGACTTTGGTGAATGACTTGTTCCCTCTTTAATTTTCCTCATTTTAGCAATATCACCTCAAGCTCTTCTGCATCTGCCAGACAAAATTTAAAATTGTCGTTTGCAATATAATTGTTAACATTTGTTTTGAAACATTGTAACTGATATTAAATTTATCCGGAAAAGCATATTTAAATTTATAGATGATATATCTGATTTTTTTAGATAATCTCCTGTTAAGCAATCTTCTCTGTCTCTCATTGTCTTATCAATGGTAGTGGCACACCACACTACCGCAGCTATTAATTTGGATTGGATGATGATATCTTGATGCTTCAAAGTTATTAAATAAATTTATTTTTATTTTTAACATCAAAAACATGGAATATTTTTGAAACATTTAATTTACTTGAATATTCATACTGTCGGAATTATGAAGTTTTAGAAAGACAAAAAAGTTTATCGACAAAACGCGATTAAATTGAAAACAAAATAAATTGAACAAACACGTGTATAATGGTATCATAGATCACACAAGAAAATAAAAAGGAATGCATTTCATAGAAAGACCATCACTTATGTAGAGTAGATACATCTGTCACGTTTTATGGATCCGGTGTCTTAAAATGAGTCAAATGGTAGTAAGAGTATTTCGTTTTGTCTTCATTTGATAAAATGTTTTGTAAATGTTATAAAATAAAGTATTGCCAATAAATGATTAAGAGATGATGTTCAAAAGCTAACTTGTAACTGCTTATCATAGAAAGCCACAAGCTGTAGAACGAATGCTCAACTTAGGCTACCTTTCCCTACTCAGTAATTTGCAATAAAACAGAAGTAATGAAACATTTTTGCCACTTTATTTCAACTAAAATTAAAATTTTTCAAAGCAGCTTTCAAATTCGCTCATTTTAAAATTAAATATTAAAAATTCAATCATGGACACTTTTTAAACAAAAAATGCGTTATATATTTTTTGTCTTGAGGTGTTTATTGAACTATTGGAATAAAAAATTGATTGCAAACATCGAAGAAGAAGTTGGAAGTTAAGTAAATCTTTTTACGCTATGCCTGCCTGGATCGCTTCAATGAGTCATGTACTTCGCTCAGTCATGTACAACGTGAAAACCAACTGAAAAATATGAACAACTCTAACAACAAGCGGCAATCACGACAAATGAATAACAATGTCTTGTTGGCTCGTGATGTTTATTGTCGAACATATAACTATTGTTATTCGACACGTGATTTCAGATGTAACTAATGATAGTTGCAATGGTAAGCATAACAAAATCTCCCTGATTACAGAAAAGGTACGCACACATTACAGTATATTACAGCATTTAACGATTTGTATTTAAAACTTATATTTATTTGAAACTTACATGGAAGTGCATTTGAATGGAAAGCTGAAATGCTTTTTAAATGATTTTTAGTGTTGTGTAGCTTCCTCTTGTAACTCAGTTTCTGTTTGATGACTGATTTTACCATTTATTTATTGCATTGTTAAATGGCGAGATGGTGTTCAGGTTAATGGTTCTTCGAATGCAAAAAGATATGCGCAAATTATGTGGATGAATTAATAAATTATGTGGATGAATTAATTCACGTGCACTCAATGCACTGATGCATTGATACTTTTGAATGATTCAGTAAGAGGAAGTAACAATCATCCCGAATCTGTGAGAGGAAATTAACACAAATCTGAAAAATAATTATTTGAAGAACGTTACAGAAGACTAAGTGAAAGATTTGACGAATATTAGTGAATTTTTTAACTGAAATATTCTACTCAATACACATATGTAATAGAAAATATTATGATTTAAAATTAATCGTAATTTATTTTAGCATAAAATTACATAAACATAACATGAAAGAAAAATTATGAGCGCCGGAGAAAATCTATAAGCCAATGTCTCTATGTTTTGAGGATAATTATAACTGTAACTAGCCCAAAAAAGAGACTGAATAAGTAAAAAGATTATTAAAAATAAATGAAGTAATGTATAAATTGGCGTAGTAAGGACATATCAAAAAATGAAATTATTTCTACGACATCAGTAATTCTTTCAATCGTCTTCATCAAATTTTTACTTCAAAATAAAATAACATGTGCTGGATGACAGAATTTTTAAAAAATATGCTTTATGGTGCACAAAACCATCTTTTCTGCTATCATCCTCAGTGCTACATCAACGAAACTTATCATTGTTGCCGTACCTCAGCAGACCTACCAAGTAACTTCACCCAAACTACCAAGTAAACCCAACAACCTACCAGACAACCCCAACAACCTACCAGACAACCCCAACAAATCACTCGAACACTGAAATCACTCGAACACTGAATCATTGTTTTAACGTAAACGCTGTAAATGTCAAGAGTCTTTCTACTTCCATCAATAATTTTTTGCAAACATTTTGTTAAATTATATAATTATATATTATTATAAAACAACTCCAACAAAATATATATATATATAAATGTACACACACGCACGCACGCACGCACACAAACACACAAACAAACACGCATACATACATATATAATTATACTCATTTATTTATTTATAGAATATTTACATGCTATCAAAATTGATAACATGAATATTTACTGAACAAAAGCCTGTCTGACTCTGCTTGTTTGATTGCTATAGTGACAGCGTGATGATTGCGAAAGTTATATAAGTAGCCGTGCTTATAAACTTACAAACGATCCCACTGAGTTGAAGTCTGTTTGCTTGTTAACAAAATTAAAATCCAATTAAAAGTGTAACTTAAGTTGTGCTGGTTTTTATAACTGAGGAGGTTTCAATTATTTTTGAAATATCGATATTCTGTGGTATTATTAACGATTAACATCAGCACCTTTCGATTGTTATTTTAGTAGTAAATATTTGCAGGATGTTTAAAAAAATCTATCTGGTATTAAAAGAAACTTTTGAAATGTTGAAAAATATTCATTTTTTATTATATTATTTATAAGGAATAAATAAATGAATAAATATATAATTTGGTATCATTTCTCTGAAAAGGAACAATATTTGAAGCAGTTAATTTTTATATTCAGGCTCCAACGTAACGATGAACTTCTCGTGGAAATGTAAAACAATTTTTGTCGTTTTCCTGTTCATCATCAAATATTCCTCAGCAGACCTTGGTGAGTTAGTTGGTTGAAATGTAATTTAAATTCGTAAAACATTGATGAGAACAATTAATAACGTTTGTTTGTTAGCGTGCTATTTATTTGGAAAAAATTTCATTTTCATGGCTTGTGTTTCTCGAAAAAACACAAAACTTGACAAAACTAATGACTACATTGTTGTTAATATAAAAACATAATGCAACAATGCAACAATTCACACTGTTTTGAAAATGTAATGAAGTAACTTTAAACCGTAACAAATAATAAGAGGAAAACAACATATGCGGGGGTGAGAAACGAGAACTTGTGGCCCATCCGAAGAATTGTTCCCTGTATTACAAATGTTCTCAAAAGCAAGTCAGCAGTCTCAATGCCTGCCAATCAGGTTTTTGGTTTGATCAAAGACAAGAAAAATGTGAAAACATTCAATCCTTTTCACAAAAGCAAGCTGACAAATGTGCCGATGATTCGAGATCGTAAATATTTATTATTTGATTTTCTGTTGTTTGTAACTGAAGAGTTTCTCGTTCATACAGTCAATTGGTTTAAATGCCTAGGCCGTATTGATAAATTATTTAGTTTTGTTTATGATTATCAATAAATAATTAACGTGACGCGTTAACTATATCAAATTTTATAAATTTTCATTCTAGAGCAAAGAAACATTGCAAAATAATTCGAAGATGTTTTAAAACAACAGCATTAACACCAACAACAAAAACAACAAAGTCTCCAAATAAGAAAAATTACCAAATAGTTAAAAGATGTTTCTTCCCTGTGATTTTAGGTTAGAAATTATCCGTAAACTGACTGTTATATAATTGCGCGTTAATCGAATGAATACAAAATTTAGCTGATTCAAAGTGGTTACATGAAGATTCTGACAAAAATGATGACAAGAAACAGAATAAATATCTGCCGAAAAGTATTTCAATCAAACTTCCCACCGGGAAACAAACGACGACTCAGCTCAATTTGGCGAAAAAACCAAACTCAACCGACAATTTGGTTATTTTGTGCAACACTCGTGGTAGAGTGGAAAAGTGGGTCGCTTCAGAAAACGAAGTACATTTTATGATGCTATTTATGTAAATAAAATATGTATAAACACCAACATTGAATCAAAACAGACTTGGAGCGTGTACAGTGATCTGAAAACTGAATCGTCCATCTCAGTGGCTACGCGGATTGAAGGTGGCAAAAAGAAGTTAATTTATGTAAGTTTCCTTTGCTGGTGACGTTGAAATTACAAAATTTGAAATGCGAACTTTCAATTAAAAGGATGGTTCGTTTGTTGCCAACAAGACGAGATACAGCCTCAGACCAAACGAAGGAAAACGATCTTACCCACTGGACCCAAACAAAACGAAGTTCATTTCTCTCAACGACACAACTTATATTCTGACTGAAGAAAACTACACCGCTGGTCAATATGATTTTGTGCGAGGTACACTTAATCATAATTTTTCTTGAAACACAGTCATTATACCAATTTTGTCATACTTGATTGACGTTTATTAAAAGCCGAACAATCGGGGCCAGCCAACGTGACCTCGGTGATGACTGACTTGGAAAAGTTGGTGAACGCACAGCTGCAATCAACTTCATCACAAAGAAGATATGGACTGGAGTTGTTCATTGTTCTCGATTACTCTATATTCTACAAGTAAATATTTGAAAAAAAATGAAGAGTAAAACTAAATTATCCACTATTCCACTATACTTAATACGTTTTTTATATGTGTGCATGTATCCACACATCTACACACACACACACACACACACACACACACACACACACACACACACACACACACACACACATACACACACACACACACACACACACACACATATATATATATATATATATATATATATACACATGCATGTTATGAATTCACCACTGCATGAGCCTTGTCAAAGTCGAGATGTGAATTTGATGTTTTAAATAACAAAATATATATGTAGAGTTTATATAGCGCTCGTTCAAGTTCTCACAAACGCTTTATCCCACAAGTGCGCTTTGATTCTTTTTCTAAAAATCACTTCATCAATCTCATTTGTTTTCAGCTCTGTTGGCAAATCATTCCACATCCTTGGGCCATACACTGCAAAACTTCTTGACGCCATTGATGAGTTTACCAACGGTTTCTGAAAATCATTGTTTTTGGAAGATCTTAAGAATCTACCCGCCACTGTTATTGGTGTTTTTTTGCACAGATCCATTAGATATTTCGGAGCCGAACCTTGCATACATCGTTTCATCATCACCAAAACTTTGAAAACGATTCTGCTTTCAATTGGCAGCCAATTAATTCACGAAAAATTGGGGTCACATGGTCATATTT